TGTGTGTGTGTGTGTGTGTGTGTGTGTGTGTGAGTGTGTATGTGTGAGTGTGTGTGTGTAAAAGCACTTATTAAAATCTGGAAAAGAGTAGATACATGCTAACAAGAGTCTCTAATTGTAGGGTGGGCTGTGCATAGGTTAGAGACTTGGGCCAAGAGGCACTCGACATACTCGCACTGTGTTTGCACATATACTAAACATGTAGGTATTACTATTCAGAGCGCTGGCTGTACGTATACGGACATTGTTGCAACTCCTTTCTCACTAGCACCCACACTAATAGACTTGCCCTATGCTCATAGCCTCTATGATCGATGCCCGAGAATACCCGAACTAGTCATCCGATACACTTCCATCAGCACGTTTACATACCTGTGAGGAACGATTGTTACAGAATACATCCTGTCTACCTGGGTTCTACCATTACATGGAACAACCGTACCAGCAACATACGTATATTCATCAATACGTGTATGCCATAGCCTTACTTACCTGCAATCCGTATACGTATTTCTATCATAATCCCGATACCTGTTTTTATTAAAACGTTTGTGTTTATGCTATGGCCATACCTGCCAGGATGTAGTAGTAGCGCTGCAGCTCCACTAGAATCTCGAACATCTGGTCCCATTCCACGGGGGTGAGTTGCTCGTAGTACGATTTGATGAGCCGAGAGACTGATAGGATTACCTATGCACACGCAACGGCCAAGTCAGCTTGCTGAGAATACTCATGAACTCTTCCGGTTTAACTGTCTGTTGGTATGTCAATGTTGTTCTCCGAATAATAATAACCCATATCCACGAATATAGATCATTTGAATGTGATGTGGTAATTTCCGTAGTACAATTTGGTGAGGCGCGGGACAGACAGGGAATACCTCAGCAAAACCAGTATTCATGCATGTTTACAATGAATATCCAATTACACAGCGATGGCAGAACGGCGGAGAATGACGGCGGTGGCGTATGCATGCACACACATACAGTGCCAAACAAACCAACTGCGTACAAACACACACAATCTCACTTGTACTGTACAACCATACCTCATACGCCACAATGGGCTTATCAAACGCTAAGCAGCGGTACAGCGATGGCAGAATGGCTGAGAAGGACGGCTGTAGCGTATCTATGCGCTGACTGCCCCAACACGCCATGCCCAGGAAGAACACCGACCCGCGCACAAGAGCCCAATGATTGCGGTTGGACTCCAGTTCGAGGATGTTGCATAGTGTGCCTAGTACGGACAGGGTTTAGGGTTTAGGGTTTAGGGTTCTGAGGTAAAGTTCCGAGCTAGTGCAGTACTGCAGCGTGGGTGTTTGACCCCCGGATGTGTTCAATTAGCAAGCATCAATTCCTGGGTTATGATGTAAAAGGTAGCATGGCATAGTGGGTCATCCGGTTCTGGTGGTAAACTGGACCCTTGCAAAAGGCACATGGCCGATCACACTCTATATAAATATATATACATCTGTGCATATATGTTACACTTACAACAGATAAGTATACTTTAACGGTAGCACTATGTATTAATATACATACATCTATGCCTATGTAACTGTACACTTACAACAGATAAATATACTTAGTCGACATTACATACACACGCACTATGTATGAATATTCCTTGTCTATGTATATATAACTGTACACTGACACCGAATAAATACACTTAAACGATAGCACTCTGTATAAATTTACATACATTCTATGCATATAAAGGTGTACAGTTACAAACAGATATTTAAACTTCTACATGCATGGCGGAAAACGCTCTACATGTGTGTCAATTTGCATATACACATACATCTACATCCAGAAACATATATATATACAAAGAGTCACAAAGTCTATGGCACACTCGATGTATACATGCATATACACACGTATGTGCGGATATGTTTATATTTACATGAGCAAGGATCACAAAGCCATTACGACTTTCCATGTCTGTAAATACATACGGACACATGTGTATATTCACTCACAAACTAGTACATATCTATATATATATATATATATACCTAGTGTCACATGGCCGATATCACTCTTAAGGACACATTTGATGATCTGCCAACTTCTGTGACAAAAGTCTTCAATGTTCACGGCCCGGCACAGAGCTTCCACAACTGGCTCAAGCGAGGCAACCGAAAACAAGCTGTACAACACGTGCACATCCAGCACACGCAGACACAGGTCAACGTCTGTCACCAGCTGTTTATGTAGGCATCATATGGAGGTATTTGTCTTTAATCTTAAAGTGAGTTGCAGCATATATATATATATATGTATATACATATATATTACATATATATTTATATATATATATATATATATATGTGTGTGTGTGTGTGTGTGTGTGTGTGTGTGTGTGTGTGTGTGTGTGTG